CTACAATTTAAATGCAAGTGAGGACTGATCTTTTGGTAAATTGTGGTATAATTGGCATATGACATTATATGAATTTCATGGGCTTGAGCCTGCAACCATGCATGTGCCCTTGACCGGAATCGAACCTGGTACCCTTCAGTCTGCAGGCTGATGCTCTATCCACTGAGCCAAACCAGCCAGGTTGAGCTAGGGCTGAAATTTTAGTTTATTGATGTTTGGCTTGAGCCGTGGGACATGCCCATGTGTCAAGGTTAGAGAGAAAAGAACCTGGAGAGGAGTGGAGATGGAGAGGGCAGGAGATAGGAGGAAATGGGTAAAATGTGGTTCCAGGAATCCAAGTGAGTGAAGTGTTTGAGGAAGGAGCGATCAGACCTGTCAAATGTTGCCAATGGAGTGAGGAAAACAATTGAGGACGGAGTGTTGGATTAAGCAAAATAAAGTTCTTTGGTGACCTTGACAGACAGATTTGGTGAGTGATGGTCAGACACCCAATTGGAGAAGAGAGCCGGGAGGAGAGGGTGGAGACAGCAAGCATAGACCTCTCCCCGGGAGGAACTTTGCTGTAAATAGAGCAGAAAAACGGGGTCATGGCTAGTAGGGGAAGAGGGATCGAGAAAGCATTATTTTCTTGTCACACAGAATTCGTACTTTATACCTATTAAAAGAGCTCTTTTAGGTTGAGACAGATTTTATGCCTACATGTGTCTGTGGGAAAAATACATACATACATATATATAAATACAGGGGAAATAAACCTACTGTGTTCCTAAAACTTCCCTTCCCTCACATGCTGTTCTTCTGAAGACCATTTCCTCTCAGTCATCCATTTCCATTGATTATGCTTTTTTCCCCCATATAATCTTTTATTCTGAGGACCAAGGGTTGGTGATGTAGCGTTTCTAACAGAATACACTACTATTGTCCCCACGCCTCCCTTCCAAGCTGGGGTTGGGTTTTGATGCTGTTACTGCTTAAAAAAGTTAAAGAGAACTGTATTTCTGCTCTACCGGTGACCTTGCAGACAGAGGAGGGCTCCCACCTTCCTGCGCCTGCGCCCACAGACGATGCTTTCTCTCCTGTTCTGTGGGTGAATGATCAGAGCTCCTCCCCCCCTCCCTGTGCTTCCTGCATCCTCAGATCGCCCCTGGATCTGCCCATGCGCACGCAATGATGTCCATAGTCCCCTCACTTGATTCAGGAAATGTTTCCAAGGTAGAGCCACAGACAAGCCGAGCCTTGGGTGTGATGGAGAGTGACTCCGATGGTTTACCAGAACTCCCGGGGCAGGTGTCAGAGTCAGCCTTCTTATAGCTGTTTAATGGAGAATGGATGCCTATGGATCACAGGATGGAGTCCAGATGCCTTCGCAAGCGTGCAAGGGCCCCTGGCCTATGCCAGTTTGTCTTCGAAGCTCTGCCCCACTCTGTGCCCGACCTTTCGGTGGCTCTCTGCGCTGTTAAAAGGCTCTGAACCATTGCACACGCCCATTTCTCTGCTTGAGATGCCCCTTCTCATTCCTCTGTTTGAAGATTTGGTTCAAGGGTCACCCTTGCAGCAAGGGCTTCCCAGCTTCTCCCCGAGGCGTGGCTGGTCACGTGCTGCTTTGTCTGGGGCTCATGGGTGGAACCCAGCATTTCCCGCCCTATTTGGCAATATTTTCCTCATCTGTCTCCCTTCCGGGCTATGACCTGCCTGAGGCTGCCCTAGGCGTCCTTGTTTATATGCATCTGTAGGCTCTGACTCAGGGACTCATCCGTAGCGCCCATGCATAAGCAGGCACGTACCAGTCCATTGATAGTGGAGTGCAAATGAAGACTCTGTGTACCGCCTTTTCAAACGTACAAGGTCATTAAAAACAAAAACCACCTGTTCACTAAGTGGCGTTACTACACTGCTTACCGTCAGGTGAGTGACCGAACCCGTCTCAGAAATAGGCACAATAAAAGCACCCACCTCCCAGAGTGCTTTGAGGGCAGGGCATGAATCAGCCTGTGGCCCACACATGGACATTTGCAATACAGGTTAACTATCTGTGTATACTTATGACTACGGCCGCTACAGAAA